CTTTGCCCACCTACCCCCACCCCCCTTTCCCTCTGGCTATCACCACACTGTTGTCTGTGTCTATGTGTTTTATATATATATATATTTTGCTTAATCCCTTCAAATTATAACTTATTTTCAATGCCAGTTAGTTAACTTATGCTAATCTTGGCTTTGAAGTGAATCAAAGTGGTATATATTCCAGTGTTTCACTTCTTCATTTATGGGGCAAGTATTTTAAAATACAGTTTTTTAATATTTAAATGTCAATCTTATGCTTATTTTTAATTGTGCTAAATTGTATATAATATAGAATTTGCCATTTTGATCATCTCTAATTGTAGAGTCCCTGACATTAAATATATTTACATTGTTGCGCAGTGATCATCACCATCCATTTTCAGAACTTTTTCACCTTCCCAAACTGAAACTCGATATGCATTAAGCAATAATTTCCCAGTACCTCCTCCCCTTAGACCCCAGCAGCCATCATTGTACTTTCTGTTTCTGTGAATTCGAGTACTCTGTGTGCTTCATGCAGGTGGAATTATACATTATTTGTCATTTTGTGACTGTTATTTCATTAAGCATAATGTTTTGCGATTCATCCATGTTATAGCATGGGTCAGGATTTTTTTCCTTTTAAGGCTGAGTAATATTCCATTATATATATATGGCACATTTTTTTTACTCATTCACTGATAGACAGTTTGCTTCCACCTTTTGGCTGTTGTAAATAATGCTGCTCTGAATAAGGGTGTACAGATACGTGTTCAAATCTGTGCTTTTAATCTTTAGTATATACATATAAAAGTGAAATTGCTGAATCATATGCTGATTCTATGCTTAATATTTTGAGGAACCACCATGCTTTTTTTTTTTAATGCAGACTGCACAATTTTACATTTCCACCAGTAGTGTGAGAGTTCTTATTTTTCCACATTCTTGTCAACAGTTGTTTCTTTCTGTGGGTTTTCCCCCTGCACTGGGTTCGCAAAGTTACTTTATATATATGTATTTTTTATATTGGCAGCTGGCAATAATTTACACATTTATGTAAAATTTTAATNCTTTAGCACAGTGTTGTCTCTGTCCATTGGCTATGCATCTATGTATAAAAGTTCTTGGGTTAATTTCCCTTCTCTCCCTCCCCCCTCTGAGATATGCCAGTCTGTTCCATGCCTCCATGACTCTGGATCTATTTTGTTGTGAGTCTGTTATGTTCATTAGATTCCACTTATAAGTGACATCATGTGATATTTGTCTTTCCCTGACTGTTTTATTTCACTCAGCATAATATCCTCCAGATCCATCCATGCTGTCCCAAATGGTAAGAGATCCCTCTTTTTTATTTTTATTTTATAATTTATTTATCTTTATTGTTGAAAGTATTACAGGTATCCCCTTTTTTCCCCTATTGACCCCCTCCACCCTGCACCTGCCTCTCCTCAGGTCTTCACCTCACTATTGTGTGTGTCCATGGGTTATGCATATATGCGTATAAGTACCCAGGTT